AAATGACAGCTGTCACTTTGTGTCAAAGCGAGGAACTGTGAATACTTAACCAATTGGGTCGCGAAATGACAGCTGTCACTTTGTGTCAAAGCGAGAAACTGATGAAGTCTCTTACAATTAGAAGGTCGCGAAATGACAGCTGTCACTTTGTGTCAAAGCGAGGAACTGGTAAGAAACTCTTAGCAATTGGGTAGCTACAAAAATGTTAAGAAATCTGGGGAAAAATTATTAAAAAATAAATAGATTCGTTAATAATGCAAAAATTAACCTATGAGAAGAAACAACGATATGCTAATTAATTTCAACTCTTTTTGTATTGCGAACGGAAACATGATTTTTTATAATAATAACAACGTTTATTGTGAACCGCAAACCAGTTTCAAATCTGTAATTACGTTGGAATTAGAACTATGCACTGTAATTATTTGTCGGTATTACGTAAGGATGATGCGGCTTTGAGAAATGAAAAATGTAAATATAAAAAGATTATTAGTTGTTACTAAAAAAATAATAATTATAGTTTAATATAATTCTCCGTGTTTCTATTATATTATGAAGTTATTAAAAAATAAACGGAAACCACTACTTTGCCTTTTGATTCATACGCTGTGTAGGTAACTTTTAATTTAAATTGCGCGCAGCGAGCACAAATTAAATTGAAGCAAGAAATGGTGTTCATCCCTTTTTTGCACTGAAACCTCTCCTTTTTTTGTCGTACATGGACAAGTTTAATTGCTTTTGGGTTTTCATAATTAATTGAATAAAACACGTTATTTATATAACTTTCAAATATATTTGCTAATTAGAAAACTAAAAAAATGAATAATAAATATTTGTTATTATATTAATATAATGAAATAAATTCAAAATATTTTGATTGAATCATGTTAACGGTTTTGCGGATTGTTGCTATAGTTACAATTTTATTATTGTTTTGTAATGTCAATTTCTTTAGTGTCGAAGTTAGTTCTAAATACAGAAATGTGAAGTTATTTATTAGATTAGTGGTAATCCACGTATGTATAAGAACACACCTGAATGCGCCGAAGAAAATTAGGAGCAAGATTGTTATATAAAACGTAAGTAATATTTCTTTATATTTATGTATATACATATAGGCAACACACGAAACAATTATTTAAAGTTATTGCTAGAAAAATTGGTTATTATACTTTCATATACACATTCACGCTTATATAATTATATAATGTAAATAATAAAATTTGCAGTAACGATTCCTTTGGTGCGCGTGTTAATATTCTTTAATAGATGTACAATCTTAATAATTGCAATTATGTTATGTGGATAAAATAATTAGAAAATGTATGTTTGTTAATGATTTAAGGAGGAAATACGAAGAAATTAGTAAAAGTTATTACTAGAAAAATTGATATTATATATTCATATACAAATACTCGCTTATATATGATTATATAACGTACAGTATATTGAATTTAAATTAAATTATAGAAATTGTTTTAAAAGTTGATATTAAACTCTCATATACAAATACTCACTCTTTTATGACTATAATATCTGTAATATTACAATTATGTCAATAGTTATGAAATATTCAGTTTTTTGTTATTTTTCTTTTAAGAGGAAACTTGGATCTAAAATTGATTGCAATTGAGTTAATTTAACTTTTTTCTTATTTAATATTTGTTACCACTTATTGAGTAAAATTTACTGTATCCATAAAAATGCATAGTTTTTCCATAGCTTTGCATATTTTTGATTAAGTAATTTCTATTTAACGTAAATTATTTAAGTGGTGTGTACGCTCCATTAGTTGTCTTGTTTAGTAAATCTCTCTATCATTTTAAAATTAGGTCAATGAATTTGTAAAGGTATGGAGATTTTTTTCATTTTTATAATTATTTGAAACCGATATCCGTTTAATTCTATTTATAATTATTATAATCATTTGAATTGAATGGGTGAGCTGTTTCAATGCGTTATGAAATCATTTTCAATGGATAAATGTTACGCTCAAAATCAAGTACAATTCTATATAATTATTAAGCAGTGTTTCCAATATACGATGTTAATACTCGTACGGTATTTAACCGTGAAACTGGACCGTTCCATATTAGTTTACCTGCATTATCATCTATTAAACGCTCTTGTACGTTGCTTGGATACAAGTTATTACGTGGCTGTTAATTGCAGCAGTAACAAATTGCTTTTATTGTTCAAGCAAATATAATACGTTGACCCAGAGCTTCAGAAAAACGTAACCAAGTTTCCACTTGACTATTATCTCTAAAAAAAAAGTTTGTCTCCGCGCATTTCAAATTTTAATACACCACCAACTTTCTGAATACGCAATATAAATGCAAATACAACGCGATTCTTCCATTTCCCTTATTTTTTTGTCTTTCTCTATTCTCTTTGCATATCTCATCTCGTACCAGGAAATAATGCCGAGCCGTTTCCATGTCGACTAGCGTCGTGTAATTATCCTCCCATCAACGCCTTACCACCGAGGCTGGAATTGCTGCTAGCGACTAATTACTTTGCAGATAATGATGCGCTGGTGGGCAATCAATCTAAATCTCTGCCTCGTCTTTCCGTAAAACTCGTTTCAGGGATCGGGTTTAAAAATATTGAGAAAAATTATAAGGACGAGTTGCCATTATCCTTAGTTTTTTTTGTATTATTCAATAATTATATGTTGCCTTCTTCGGGAGATCATTTTCTAATGAAAATATTAAAATGCAACTTTAACGATCTCTAATGGAAGTTAGCACGTATATTAAACTTGATGATGATGATGCCTAATTTCCTGTTCGAATGTAGCAATAAATACTAGTTTAGTTCGTTGTATTATAATTAAGTCTATGAACAGGAAATATATTATATTTATATACTTTGGTATCTTCATTTTAGATAATTATTACTAAATGTATGAGAATCAATTTCATTAGATTTTTATTATGGCGACCAACGTGGGCCGAAAATAATTAAAATATTTTGATTAAAATTTTCTTCATTATTGTCAATCATTTTTAATTAGCTTCAGTTTATTAAAATAAGTATTTAATATATGAGATTCAAATTACATTATTATTTTTGGGAAATGAAATAAATATAAATAAACTTTCTTGATTGCAAATTATATAATATGAAGAGAATAATTGGTAAATTCTTATTGTTGGCGACCAACGTAGGGCGAATTGTAAGAGTTTTTGTAAAATTCTATTGATTCAAATAAAAGAAACATTAAAAAAACATACGAGATTAAATTATATAGTATGAACGAAATAATTGTTAAATTACTATTTTTGGCGACCAAGGTGGGCCGAATTTTAAAAATCTTGTTAAAATTATATAGTTTATCATTATATAAATATCAGCAAGAAATCGTAATTTCAAATTATATATAAATATACGTACTTAAATTATATAATATGATCAGAACAATTGCTAAATTATTAGTTTTTCTATAGTTTTAAATAAAATAAGTATAAATAAACCTATTCGATTAAATTTTATAAAATGGAGACAAAAAATAATATTTTTGGCGATTAATTATAAATCTTGTTAAAAATCTATACTTTTAAATTCAATTAATATAAAAGAACGTATTGAAAATAAATAAAATCCTAATGTATATTCTCGTTACAAAGGCTTTGATTAACGACTGGCGATATAAAAAGGCAATGTTTCGAACCGTGTCGAAGATTTCTTTGAAGAGATGCTGGATTCGAAATGATGAATAAGAAAAAAAAACTTGACTTTTCTTCTCCGGGGTTCATTGAAGATACGAAGAAGTTCATAAGGAGAATAACATTGAGCGGAGCCAGCCAGCACACGTAGCGCCTTATAGGTCAAAGTCTCACAAGAAGCGCAAGAAAAAAGATTATAAAAGGAAAAGAAAAGGAACTTCTTTCGTTTGGGAAAATGATGTCAACAGGCTAGATACAATGCTCATAGTTCGAGAAAATACTGCTTCGTCTTTAAAGTTAATGTAACAAAGGTTCAAAGCTTTTATTTTACATTTTTTTTATTGATGAATTGTATTTTTACATCTAATGAATGAACGTTGAAAACAATATGTGAATAGGTGGAAGCAGCTCCATCAAATATAGAAATTAACGACAGTTCTTCAGTTTATAAACAATTACAATTTTATATTTGAATGTGAAAATGGAGATTTATTTCTATTATCATTTACATTAGCTTATTGCCTATAACTATAAATTTTCTACTATTATGTAACGAAAATATTATTTATCAGCATTACTTGAAAAAAAAATATATTTCAAGTATAAAATTTTGAAAAAATACCTAAAGCAGTAAAAAATCTAACTCTTATTACGAAATGCACTTAACTGAATTTCAATTTTTAACAATACAAATGCAAATTTCCATCTCAAACTCGAAATCTTTATGGATCCTTTTTTTCAGCGTCCGTTTTCTGAAAGCGCGCGTACTTCAAAAGTGATAAAAGTAATGGCATTTTCATGTTCTATTCCAGGCGGATCCTTCAGATTTTCCCCTCTCCAAAATAACTACAGTAAAAGTAATAACTATTTTCCAATGGCATTAAACAGTATTTTAACACGTGATAAAAAATATTTTATTCGCTTCATCCGAATGGAAATAAAATCGATTTCGTTGCATCTTTCTGCATATGCTCTACACTAAATTAAAACACACCTACATAGTCGAGGTCCGTTTCCATAACAGGCGTGCATTTAGAAAATAGTAAAAAAGAAAACAAATAGTATAAATCGCATTTAGCTCGTCGAGTGTGGGATGAAAAATGAGAGAAGCAACATTTGATGCGAAAGCTCCATTTCCATTTGATGTCCATCGATTCCGATTAATTTGTTTATTTCTCTTTACGGTTATACGATTACATTTTATACACGGCTCAGCTGGCTTCCATTAAAATTCTTTCGACTATTTTTATCGCTTTTTGTTTATGTGCATATAGATTTTATTTAAAAAGATCTAATGTTTGTTTTCTTTTGCGGAAATGGAATGTTCATAGTTTTTTTCTTCATTTTAGTTATAATTTAGAATTTTATAGAATTTGTTCA